GAGCTCAAAATTTATGTTGCTAAGCAAGACAGTTGAATTCTTCTCCATTTTATGACCTTTCTTACCACAGTTGTTAAGTGAATCACTGCAGTTAAGTTAGTAATATAGTTGTTAAATGAATCTGGATTCCTCACTGACTTTGCTTGTCTACTAGAATAGAACAGAGAATAGAATGGAATGGAATAGAATTCTTTATTGGCCAAGTGTGATTGGACACACAAGGAATTTGTTTTGGTGCAAATGCTCTCAGTATTCATAAAAAAGAAAAAGAAAAAAAATAAATTCATCAAGAATCATAGGTATAACACTTAATAGTAGTCAAAGGGTACAAATAAGCAATCAAATCATACTAGGAAATATAACAAGTGATCAAATCAAATCAAATTATACTAGTAAACAGTCAATTTAAAAATCATAAGGATACAAGCAACAAAGTTACATTCATGCAGTCAAGTGGGAGGAGATGAGTGAAAGGAAGGATGAGAAGATGAATACTAATAGTAGTGCAGACTTAGTAAATAGTTTGACAGTGTTAAGGGAATTGATTATTTGTATAGCAGAGTGATGGCAGTCGGGGAAAAACTCCTTGTATCTGGTGTTCTGGTGTGCAGTGCTCTATAGCTTCATTTTGAGCATAGGAGTTGAAACTGTTTATGTCTGGGATGTGAGGGGCCTGTAAATATTTTCACAGCCCTCTTTTTGACTCAAGCATTACACAGGTCCTCTATTGAAGGCAGGTTGATAGCAATTGTTTTTTTTCTGCAGTTCTAATTATCTGTTGAAGTCTGTGTCTGTCTTGTTGGGTTGCAGAACCAAACCAGACAGTTACAGAGGTGCAGATGACAGACTCAATAATTACTACAGATAGTCCCTGATTTACAACAGTTCATTTAGTGAACAAAGTTACAATGGCACTGAAAAAAGTGTCTTTATGACCATTTTTCACACTTGGGACTGTTGCAACATCCCCATGGTCACATGATCAAAATTCAGATGCTTGGCAGCTGGCATGTATTTATGATGGTTGCAATGTCTCAGGGTCATGTGATCATTTTTTTTGCCAACCTTCTGACAAGCAAAGCCAATAGGGAAGCCAGATTCACTTGATAACCATGTGACTAAACAGTTGCAGTGATTCACTTAACAACTGTGGCAAGAAAGGTAAAAATGGGGCAAAATCCACATAACTGTCTCACTTAGCAACAGAGATGTTGGGCTCAATTGTTGTTGTAAGTCAAGGGCTACCTGTATTCCTTTTGAATCCTACTGCTGGAGAACCATCTATTTGCCTTAGGCTGCTTCAGGCTTCATTCCCATAACCAAACCACACTCCCTCCCACTCCAAAACCACCACACCCAGCTGCTTCTGTTCAGCTTTTATAGCCATCAGTTACAATGCTGGCTAGGGAGGTCTTAAAGGGACAGGCCCCCAGCTGCTCAAATGTTGGTGGTTTTGCAGACAGGTTGCCGTCTCTCAAATACCCTTTATTTTATTAATGCAATGTCATTACCAAAGAAGAAGCTAGATCTTTTACCTCACCATCTATTTTGGTAGCTTTTCTAATCACTTGTGAAGGAGCAGGACTTATGTGTTCTGCTATTTCATGGTTTGTTTAATCATGGTTATCAAATAATCTATGACTGGCCATGCAAAGCCAAAATCAAATGGCATATGTGCCACAGTTTCTGAATCAGGCCTAAATATGGTGGTTCTTGAGAGCATTACTTCAAAAAATGCTCACAGTGACTCTTAACAGGAAGATTAGCCTAGTCATGCCCATTATTTAACTATAATGGTGGTTTTTAAAACTTGGCAACGACTTATGAGCACAGTTGTGCCCAAAATTTCTGTTGCTAAGTGAGACATTTGTCAATTGAAAATGGGTAAACCATTTTATGACATTTCTTGCCACAGTTGAACTACTGAACTACTGAGCTACTTCAGTTGTTAAGTGACACAGTTAAGTGAATCTGGCTTCCTCTTGACTTTGCTTGTCAGAAAGTCACAAAAGGTTATCATATGACCCGGGACACTGCAACCATCATAAATATGAATCGGTTGCCAAACTGAATTTTGATGGGGATGTTGCAGTGGTAATAAGTGTAAAAAATAGTCAAAAGTCACTTTTTTCAGTGCTGTTATAACTTTGAATAGTTCAACAACTTTGAACTTTTGTGAGTCGAGGGCTATCTGTACTTTTTCAGTAACTCAAGAAGGTAATCATGAATAATAACAAATATAGATAGCCCTGCCTTGACTTATGATCACAACTGAGCCCAAAATTTATGTTGCTAAGCGAACAGAATGATACTATCGCATCATAGCAGACCAGTCTTCATTTGGCTCCCCCCTTACCACCGCCCACGTGTTTTTAAATCACAAACAGATATGTGTTACCTTGACATTTATTAGAGAATATATAGTAGCGTAACATGATACTCCAAGCATCAATGTACTGTAACTCACAAAGTCTCATACAATATATTGTCAAAACCATTTCCATATGGTACAGATAGTCCTTAACTTACAATCATTCAGTGACCAAAGTTACAGTAGCAAGGAAAAAATGACTTAGGACCTGACCTTGCACTTAAGACCATCATAGCTTCCCTCACGGTCACATGATCAAAATTTGGGGCTTGGTACCACCAAATATTTAGGATGACAAGATAATGTGATCACCATTGCAACCTTCCCCGCCATCTTCCGATAAGCAAAGTCAGTGGGGGAAACTGGATGCACTTAATGACTGCATGATTCACTTAACAACTGCAGTGATTTCCTTAATAACCATTGCAAAAAAAGGTCATAAAATCGGGTGTGATTCACTTAGCATCATTTTACTTAGTAACGGAAATTCTGGTCCTGGCATTGGTTGTAAGTTGAGGACTACCTATAAACACTTCTTTGAGTGATTGCCTGACTCCTTATTAACTGCATACTCATGGCAGCAATGCAGGTAGTCCTCAACTTACAACAGTTTGTTTAGTGACAGTTCAGCTACAATGGCACTGAAAAAAGTGACCTATGACCTTTTTTCACACTTATGACCATTGCAGCATCCCCCTGGTCGCATGATCAAAATTCAGACCCTTGGCAACTGACTCACATTTATGACAGTTGCACTGTCCCAGAGTCATGTTGCCACCTCTTGCAACCTTCTGACAAGCAGTGGGGAAGCCAGATTCACTTAACAACCGTGTTACACTCTTAACAACTGCAGTGATGCACTTAACAACTGTGGGAAGAAAGATTGTAAAATGGGGCAAAACTCAATTGACAACGCCAAAAGGTGCTTTTTTAAAGGTGCTGGACTTCCTTGTTTTTTCTTTCGAAGGCATTTCGCTTCTCATCCAAGAAGCTTCTTCAGCTCTGACAGGATGGTGGGGAATGGGGATGCAGATGACCAGCTGTCTGCAAGGACTATAAATCCCTCCATTCCCCACTATCCTGTCAGAGCTGAAGAAGCTTCTTGGATGAGAAGTGAAACGTCTTCAAAAGAAAAGAAAAAAAAGTCCAGTTGCCTCCTGAAAAAGCACCTTTGGGACAACCATGACCTGGATGACTGAGAATCTCTACAGTTACTTAACAACTTTTGCCTAGCAACATATTTTTTTTTTTTTGCTCAGTTGTCATCTGTATAGAATTAGTTTGCTATTGTTTTTCGCAATTTCCTAGACTAGAGATTTTCTGGTGGTCTTCCATCAAACTATTATCTAGGTTCAACTGTGCTTAGCTTTTTTAATATAAGTTTGAGATCAGTTGGATCTTGACACCGTCCACTCTATGAAGTCAAGTGCCATATATCTGTGGCTTTTGAAATTATCTCTACACCAGATGAATTTTCCCATTCTTTCCCACGAATTAGTGTTGTCTAGTTTCCTATCCACCCAAAAATCAATTTCAAAGTCAGTCAGCCTTTGGTGACTTTACTTCCTTCACATTTAAGGCTATTTTTTTTAAAAAAAAAATCAGCAAAAGGAATGTTTATCTCTAGTTACACCTGTTCTGGAAGGAGTCTAGAAATAACAACTTGACCTTTAGGATGTGAAGTTATTTGAAGTCAAGACAAGGCAGGGAAATAAGGATGGAGGACATGAAATGTAAGGGTTTAGAAGGAACCATGCTAACAGGTGTGGTACAGATTAAATAATTTCCTGAAAGAATAGAACACTCAATCCAGTTTTAATTCTAAATTGGGAATAAAAGGCTGTATACCATCCTCAACCTGTTTTTTTGTGGATCCAGCCACCTTTTCAAAATCTTTTACTGAAAAGCAACAACCCACCACAGAAATAGGAAACTCAAAAAAGCGTCTAGTAGATCCCTGAAGTATGTGGAGGATCATTTTTAAAGAGAGAAACCTCCAAATTGCCTCCAACATGCAAGCTTCGTAAACTATAACATGTGGGGTTCATTCTCACAAGATGTGATGGACACAAGTAGAGGGCATTTGACTATGAAAAGTTCAGTATTGTAGCAGGCAAGAGGTCTATCATCTGCTATTTATAGGAAGTGGGACATCCATATTCAAAGGCAGCCAATCTCTGAATTCCTCAGATATGGGAACAGATTGACAAAATATCTTCTTTGTCGTCATTTGCCATTTCATCGCGTTGCTCGCCATCATGGATTTACTGTTTCCATTTTGATTGTGGGCCCTGTCCTAATGTAACCTCCTCTTCCTAAAGGCTGCTTTATTTATTACCGTCATTTGACTGTTCTTTTATTTCAACTTCTGCTAAAACCCCGAAATATCCATTACTAAATACGTTAGTCTGGGCGAAGTGTGTGGACCGCGAGGGGGCAAATTCAATGTATAATTAGGAGAAATTATCTCAGATACTGTGTCCGTGTGCAGCGGAGAACACACAGGGAAAGTATTAACAGTTCTGCCAGGGGATCCCAATTCAACCCCAGGCACGCTATTGACAGATGGCGCTCGGGAGTCGCAGGCCAACCAGATTATTAAACGGCTCTTCGCCGTCTCTTCGCTTTCCCCCCCTCCTTTGTCCCTCCGTCTGCACGCTGGCTCGCTCCGAGGCGCTTTGGGGCGCTGGATGCGTTAGGAGGGGCCATCCGGGGCAGGTGCCGCTCACCTGGGCCGAGCAGGGAAGCCCCCTTTCAGGCGTCCGTCGCTCCAGCCCGGCCCTGATGGCGCGCCGGCTGCCTCTTCAGCCCAGCTCCGGTCCTTCGCTCGCCACCCTCCCGTCCTGGCGGCTGTGAGACCAGCCCCGGCTGCTTTCTTGGTTCGGATGAGCCGCCCGCATCCCGACGCCGCACTGCGATGCTGTTTTCCTGGTGCAGCCCTCAACCTTGAGCTCAAGAGCCACGATGCCAGAGACTGGGGCGGCAGGACCGGCGGCGAGCGTCCAGGAGAACAAGCGAGGCGGAGGCGCTATGGATGGGGAGGCGGCCGCGCCACCTGCCACCGGGGTCCTGGGTGAGTAAGCGCTGCCCCCGGGCGGCTGTCCCGGGCCGTGGGATGGCGATGGCGGCGCGGGCGGAGGACCGTGGATAAAGAAGGGTCGCACCGGCGGCTTTTCCGCAGCCGCCCGTAGATGTTGGCAAGCGCGGACTTTGACGAAGTTGGGGAAGACCGGAGGGCGGCTGCATCCCTTCCCCGGGTGGAAACACCGGCTGCGGGGCGCCGGCTGGGAAGGAGCGCCTGTGTGTGTGTGTGTGTGTGTGTGTGCGGGCGTGGAAGGGGCTGCAGTCGCGCCGCCGCCGCCGCCAGTCTATTGTCTCACAAGCGGGCGTGACTCCCCCGACCCGAGAGCCCACCGGCTTCAGTCGACGGATTGGGGTGGGGTGGGGGCGTGAGGCGTCCTCGAAAGCCTGGTCGGGAGTGGCTGGACACGACGCCCGGCCGCGCAGACACGGGCGCCTCGTGGAATTGTAAGGCGAGCGCCCGGACCTGACCCCTCGCGTCTCCTCCGGAGGTCAGCAGGTCTTCGGGGTGCAGGTGGGAGCGGCCCTATTCCGCCCTTCCAAAATTTCCGTCCCGCCGGCGGAGGCCGAAGGAGACCGGCCCTGCAGGTCCACTGCGGCGGAGGCCATCCGCGCCGTGGCTTTGGATGACGCCGCCATCGGGGGAGGCTGCTTTTCGGCGGGGCCGTAGCGAGAGGACCCTTAAAGGTCGCGAGGCGAGGGAGTCGCAGGGCGCGCGTCGGCTTCTCCCAAACCCTGGCTTTCTAGACGCGCGGGACGTGGGCTGCGGGTGATGGGACTTGTACTCGAGCGTTCCTGGAGGGCGCCGGTGGGAAGGAGCCTGAAATATTTATTTATTGAGCTGGTGCTGAGAAAACCCAGCCACTGGGGGGTGGAAAGAGCAGGACTAGGTTGGGAAGGAGGCCTCTCCCCTCCCTATGTACCTTTTGGAAACCTCTGGCCAGAGTGAGGTTGTCTTTTTTTTCCCCTCGCTCTTTCCCTTTTGGCCCATTTCGGATAGAAAGAGACTTCAAGAGTTTAGCGTGTGTGCGTGCACACAAATGTATGTGAGAATGGGGTGATATTAGAGCACCTAGAGTTCATATACTGCTTGATTTTTTAAAATTTCCCCAAAAGACACTAGGTGTTGGACCTGCAGTCCCAGTGATCTGTTATACATGCAACAGGGTTTATGACCTTGGCCAGTTTTTTTTAAATTTTATTTATTTATTTAAGCAAGTTTTAGATAACAGATATAATTAGGAACATGATTATAAGTACATGAATTGGGTATGAATAAAATGGGATATTAGGACAGGGACGGTAGGCATGTTGGTGCTGTTATGTATACCCCTTACAGACATCTTAGGAATGGGGTTTTGCTTCAGTACAGTTTAGATGCAACTTACACACACAGACACACACACACACACTTATACTTGTCTCCCCCCCCCCCCAATGTTTTTATATAAGAGTGCTTCTGGGGGGATAAGCGGGATATAAAACTAAGAAATAAAGCAAAAATCATTATTTCTTTCACAGGCCTAATCTTTCTTCAAGGTTAGCAGTGGAAAAACTGTGAAGAACCTGGGGAAAATCTATGGGAAACAGTTTAGGATGTGAATTATCTGTTTGAGATAGGATTCCCAACCCCAACCCCCCAAATATGAATTGAGGATCCCTGGCTTAAAGTATTGGACTTCAGCTCCCACAAACTCTGTAGTCAGTATTGTACTGAACTGAAATCCATAATTAAAGCTAAGCACACTGCTTGGGTTCATAAACTTAAACCATATTTTTAGCCACAATTTATTGCATAAAGCTCACTTGGCTGGTTTCATACAATACATTAAATTATTAAAGACGGTGTGCTAAACCACTAGTAGTTTTAACCTTTATTAGTTGTCTGAGCCACAGTGGATGGATCCTTACAATGTATTAAGCCCTAAGGCAGCTATGGTTGACAAACTGTAATTGTACCTTATGTCTGAAAAACCAAAACCTCACAATTGTGTTATGTTTTAGTGTAATATATATCTAGAATCTACATGTGGCCAAATTACAATAAATTGCTTAAGCATAAGTACATCTGGATATTAGAGAGAAGAAAGTATTTTATCCCTGTCCCATCAGATGAAGGAAATTCTAGCAATACTAAACAGCTATTTCTGAGGACAGAGCCTCAACAGGAGGTGTATTAGTAGCTTTCTCTTGCCCACCTTATTTCTTTTCTGGTAGTTTTTCACCCCACCGAAGTAACAGGCACATGTAGTTAGTTCTATGAGTTAATGAAGGAACTGCAAAACTATTGTCCCTGAATAAAACAGCATAGAATCAAGCAAGGTAAAAAAAGAAGTATGATCTCTTAGGCAGAGATTTTGAACCTGAAGATGGTTGTTTGAACAAAAAAAGATAAGTTGTGTACTCTTGGAGATTAATTGAATCCTCCAAGCCTTTGGATTGATTTGGCCCAGAAATACATCTTATTAATATGTAAATTAATGTCACAAGCTACCTCTATTGGTGCAAATAGGAGAGAGCTCTCATTACCTAGATTCTAGCTATTTAAAAGTAGAAAGTGCTTAATTGGTCAAAAAAAGCGGGGCAGCAGTACTGACACACTATGCTGAGCTTGGTTGGTTTTAACCTTGTGTAACGTTTTAGCAGCTTAGTGTTTGGTCAGAATTCTAGCTTTTTGGTTCAGTTTAAATTCAATAAATAGTGTGAATCCTGAAAATGAGTAAACTCAGGACTCAGATTAAGCATGTCATACGAATCCAGCTATGTTCTGGAGACTTTGCATTGAAGTCTGCTGACATATGTGAGAGTACGTGCACGTGCATATATTTTCACTGTAGTGCCAACCTCAGCCCACACTACAGCTATGCCAAGAAGATTTTGGGCACCCACAATGCCCAGCCTGTTTCTTTCATTGCCTGGAGTCAGCACGCACAATCCTCAAAGACAGAACTCCTTTGTCAAATTCCCAATTCCCATTGGGTTGGCTGAGATGGGGGAATAATTTTTTCAATCTTGTATCATTTCATCCTTTTTCCAGAATTTTCCCAACAAGCGGAGGCTGCAGTTCTGAATCTGATTAATTGAAGTAGTGTAACTTCTTAGTATAGCCTAATAGAAAAACTTGAGCAAACTGTTAGTATGGGGAAGAAGAGACGGACACCCTGAAAATTAGGAAAAGATAAATAGGGGTTTCTATTTTATGCTGCAAATCTTTGTAGCCTTTCTTTACTCCTTATTTTGGAGCATTATGAGGTGGACTACTCTTGCATAGGGAGGTTCCATGTGGGTTAGATATCCTGAGGAAAAGCTGTAAGGGTAAACACTTCAATTAAATGGATCAGACCAAATATGAGGTCCTACTTTTGGTAACGATTAATTTTTTTTTCTCTCCCATCAGTAGTTGGCATTCCAGAATGAAATATAGGATCCATTCTTCACAACTTTAAAAGCAATTCCCTCTAGATATATTGGACAATAATTCCAATTACATATGGGGATGTTGGATTTGTTTTTGAGCACATCTGAAGGGCACCAGATTGGGGAAAATTGGTTTAAAGGATTCCAAAAGGTCTGCCAAGTTAAAATGTATTCAACATACAAAGAACATCTACTCGATCTGTAAACAGGATGTCTTGCATCCTGTTTCCAAAATGACTTGCCAGATGCCTCCAAGAAGCCCATTGGCAAGACATGAAATTTGCCAAACTTCCCTGTGTTATTTTCCTGAAAGGATCTATTAACTGGGAATAGATTTCCTTTGAACAGGGAGTTGCTGTTATTCTACAAGCATCAGCTTTATCTCCAGCATGTCCCAATTGTATACAGTTGATCAGAAACGAGTTTTGCAGCTTTTGCCCTTCCTTGAAATGGAGTCCATATTGGCAGTAATCAAATATGTGTGTCGGACTCTCAGAAGTGAGCACGTACAAAATGACACATCCCTTAGCATCTTAACTCTAAACTGCATAACAATTTCTAAACCGAAATTGTAAAACAAAGAAGAATTTTGTACAGCAGCTGATTGCATGCCGCAGACTGAAGAGAGAGGCACCCTAGAGTTCCCAAGAAGTGTAACTATTTAAAGGAGCACATACATTATTTACAACATACTCTGCCATAAGAAGTGATGATAGTTACTATATGTAAGTAGATAAATCCACATTCATAGTCTAGTTTTCAGTCTTTCTGGTCCTGGATTAGGAAGCCTTTTCATCCAATATATGGGGGGGGCTGCTCTAGTATTCATACAAACGGATAATATCAATTATTTCAAGGTCTCTAAACAGAACCTCCATATTTAGACATTGTATACCTTTGAATAATAAACCCTAGGAGTTGTGCAAACAATGTGGGGATTGGGTGTGGGGGATACTTTGTTTTTGCTATCTTGGAAGCAAATACAGGTAGTCCTCGACTTACGACTACAGTTGAGTTCCAGATTTCTGTTGCTAAGCAAATCAGTTGTTAAATAAATTTTGCCCCGTTTTACGACCTATCTTGCAACCGTTGTTAAGAGAATCACTGCAGTTGTTAAGTAAGTAATATGATAGTTAAATGAATCTGGCTTCCCCACTGACTTTGCTTGTCAGATATTCACAAAAGATTATCACATGGCCAGGGACACTGCAACCATCATAAATATGCGTCAGTTACCAAGCCTCTGAATTTTGATCACGTGACCATGGGGAGGCTGTAACGGCTGTAAGTGTGAAAAACTGTCATGTCACTTCTTCCAGTGCCGTTGTAAGTTTGAACAGTCACTAAAGTGAACTGTTGTAAGTCGAGGACTACCTGTTATAGTCAACAATGCTCTCAATAGTAGCTAGGTCAGTGATGGCTAACCTTTTTGACACCAAGTGCCCAAAGCGGATGCACACATGCACACCCCCAAAGTGCAGTGCACCCTCTCCCCGTGCATGCACCCTGCTCCCCATGGATGCAACCCCTGTGTGCACCCCGCCCCTTGCACAGGCACATCAGAGACCCAAAGAC